GTTTTATCTACCTTAATTAGGCTTAGCGCTCGAAATTTATATATCTAAGGGTCGCTGCGGGTCGTAAAGGGTTACCCGCGAGCGACCCTTAGAGGGTCAGGGTCAGGGTTAGGGTCGCTTATAAGCGACCCTAACCCTCGGAGGGTCGGGTAGAGGGTCCAAGATCATAGACCACCCGGAGGGTCACTGCCAGGTCTAGATACTTTATAAGTATAATAAGTATCTTTATACCTCTTCTATAGGCTATATTATTATATAATAGACTTATAATAAGTTAATACTATTATTATAGTAAATATATAAGTAAGTAATAGCTATAAAATACTATAAAGGATAATTTATAAAGATAATCTATAAGGAAGTTATTAGATAGAATTAGAGTCTTATATTAAGTAGAGTTACTACTAAATAAAAGAAATAAGAAGAAAAATAAAGAAGTAAGTTAAATATCCTCTATAAACTCCAATTAGTAAGGATTAACCTCTATACTAAGGCTTACCAAAGTAAGTTCCTTATAGCAATAAAGGGACTTAAGACTAGACCTGGCAGTGACCCTCCGGGTGGTCCATAACCTTAGACCCTCCGAGGGTCCAGCGACCCGCCAAGACCTAAATTTTGACATAAATATATATAAATCATGGTTTATAAGCATATTATTTCCTACTTAGGATAGGTTATGCATGCATAATTTCCTTGGCGGGTCCAGAATCCGGACTTTGGACCCTCCTTAGCGTCTTGGCGGGTCCAAATAGAGGGTCACTGCCAGGTCTACTTAAGACTAGCTAAGTCCTACTAAATAAATTAAATATTTAGCTATATCTATACTAACTTATAATAGAGCTAAAGCTCTATTATAAGCTAGATATTAGTACTAATATTAAATAAGCTCTAGGTAAGAACTATTAAGTACTTATTAATACTATTAATACTAAGGGACTTATTAGTATCCTTATCTATAGATAAACCCTCTTTAACTTAGGTAAGGGAAGAAGGGAAGGGAGAAGTAGATATATAATAATAAACCTATTTAATAAAATATAAAATTTAACTAAAAGAATAAGGAGTAGAAAAGGAGGAGACTTACTAAGAAATACTAAGGGGGGAGAAAGAAGGAATATAAATATATAATATAGCTAAAGACTAAGTAAGGTAACTCTTATATAAGGAATAATTCTTAGAACTACCTATAAAGTAATAATATATATATATATTAAGGGAAATAATAGTACCCTTATTAGTATTATTAATAAAAGAAACTACTTAATAAGTAAAGAATATACTAACTCTATAGGTATAACAAGTATACTCCCCTCCTAAAGGAGAAGGAGTACTTAAGTACTACCTAAGGGTAGACCTGGCAGTGACCCTCCGGGTGGTCCATGACCTTGGACCCTCCGAGGGTCCAGCGACCCGCCAAGACCTAAATTTTGACATAAATATATATAAATCATGGTTTATAAGCATATTATTTCCTAATTAGGATAGGTTATGCATGCATAATTTCCTTGGCGGGTCCAGAATCCGGACTTTGGACCCTCCTTAGCGTCTTGGCGGGTCCAAATGGAGGGTCACTGCCAGGTCTAGTAAGTATTAATAAAGAGGTTATTAGTAGGCAAATAAATTACTATATCTACCTTAGCCCCTACTTTTTACCCCTTTTAGAAGTTTATATAGCTTTATATATAGGCTTCCGGGGCAGTAGCTAGCTCTGGTAGGGAGGGATATACTCCCGGGAGGTTTACAGGGTTTACTACCTCTTAGTGCCTGAGGCAAGCGTGCTTACAGTACGGCTGCCTTAGGCATACATACCTAAGTACTCGGCCGAGTACTCGGCCAAGTGCTTACTATTGCCTAGGGCGTAGTGAGCACCCAAAAGGTTTACTTGGGCCAAGCGAGGCTTAGCGCTGATATAATGTATTCTGCATTTAGCTAGTAATTAGTACTACCCAATAGAAACTATGCGATCCTTACAGAATCTCACCAATGCCAAGGAGGAGTAGGAAGTCACCGTGACTCCAGTAGATATACTCCAGGGAGTATATCTCAGGGAGTAGGAACGAAGGATATATAAGGATACTCTCTTATATACTTAGTTTAGTTCTTTGTCTTTAATCATATATTGTTACTTGTGTTTACCTTTGGAACTACGTTGACTCATTAACTATATTATCACTTAACAATACCCACAAGCAGACCAATACTGCGGTATAGATCTACTCGGCGCTCTCCCTGGCATCGTTCCCCGATACCCTCAAAAGGATTTAGGCTGGAATAAGACTGTGCGCAGCAACAGCTCAGTTGAGAGACAGATCGCTGACGTTGGAGGATTGGCAAGCAGGCAAGTATAATCAGGAAAGCTTCTAACATAACTGTGACCAGTTAGGCATTGTGTAAAACATCACCAGTGTTAAAACGAAACCGACCGCGTTGAATAGTAGCCAAAGGCGAAACAACACTAGCGCTAGTGCCCTTAGTAAAACCCTAGTGCCCGCAGTCGTTCTCTCCAAAAATCCTGTTCAGATCCAAATTAACCCTCTTCAGTCATGGCGCCCTTGGGAGATAATACTATAGATCGATCACAGGTTGACGACCTCAACGACCAAGCAATCCTAATCTGGACCGAGTTTCAAGTTTTCAAGGGACTGGAGCTGGATACCGAATGGGCTGGACATTTCCAGCCACTGCTTCGGGCTCCAGGGCACGAGGGTTCCGGGTATGCAAGAGTGCAGGAGCGCCCGGATACAATTCTTCTAGTTACAGGTGAGTTATATATCAACCGGGAATCAAAGGTCGTCCCGCTAACTGCCACCAAGCATGGGAGAGAGCCTCGGATATGAGGGCATTCATGGCCTCGCCTTCCGCCCAGCTCTATTGAGAGAACCTCGAGGCTAGAGGAATCAGAGCTACGTCCTCTCGTGAGACATTTTCGCAGAGGAGCTCTGACTATGTGGGCCCCAGCTGGTTTGATGCGTTAACGTGCTCTTACGTGGAATTGTTCTGGATATACTTTTTGACACCGGTGACCGATGCCCAGAAAACTCAGATTTCGGATTTGATTGGTATTCGTGAACCGGCTGTAGGGATTGGCGGTGTGCGGCATGGTGTGAAGCGTCTTAAAACTGACCTTCCATTAAAGATATGGGCCATTGGAACAGAGCTCGTGCATGGCCAAGAAGCTCAGTTGATGCTATGGCCGCACTTCTGGACGGACGAAAAGAGCGCCGAGTATAGGCATGTTGGGAAATATAGCACCAGGGGCTATCTCATGTACGACGCGAGAACCCTACTAGAGAAGTTTGGTGATAAGCTAGAAAGCGTCGGAGCCTTGGAATGGAAGGAAGAGTTTTGTGATTTCAAGCCAATCACTCTTGCTTGAATGTCTTTGTTTTTGATTTGAAATTTACTCTTTGCTATTGGTAGCGACTACTACTAAATTCCTCATACCCTTAATAGAGCAACTCTCACGACCTTACTTCATATTCTGCCGTACAAAATTATACGAAACAAACCAGCGACAAACAAGTGAAAACGAGCGAGGACAAGTGTGAAGTCCCAAAGTGCTTTCTATGCAACTGTATATAAGAAAGAAGCAAAAAGGCAGTTTTCAAGGCCCTGTCAAACTTTGAACAGTGATTGTGTACCAAATTTGTCGATTTCGCTTTCTAGAAAATGTCCATTTCCATTTTCGTCATTTGCCTATATTTATTAGAAGATATTATCTATAATCGCAATTATTATTATTTTAACGGAGTTAATAATAGATACGGAAAAAGCGACTGAGTAGATTTTGATATTCGTAAAGCTAATATATCGTCGAAAGAATAGATTTCCCGTTTAAGGCTAATTGCTTGCTGTCCGGGTAAATGTATTCTAGACCTCAGAGAAGACAAAGGTTAGTAGTGCCTCCCTATTTAGTCCCTATAGCTACTGATAGAATCTAGAAATAGAGGATTGGTTCGACGAAATGATAGGAAAGGACAGCGGGTCATTTAATAGGTTGGACTGTGACTGCAAAAGAAAGAAGAAGCCGTCGTGGGGATCTCCTTTTGGATGTCACCGATATTAGGAAAAAGTTAGTTTAAATTTATCTCAATAGCTTTGCAAATAATTGTGTTCTGGTATTACAATTCAGACACTGCATTTAATTTCAATTTCTATAACAAAGGTACAGAAATTGAAGATCTTTCTCTTTGTGGATTTTCTCTAGTATGTACCAAGGGAAAAGGTTCCAAAGTTACTATCAAGATAAGTGAATGGGACATCAGTCACATACAACATTTTCAATAACTGGAAGCTTCTGCTTGCTTGTTAGATTGAATAGGCACAGAGATAGATATGTGCCAAGATCAAAACTGGGATGCCAAATGAGGAGAGGTGTACCTACTAAGGTATATACTTAAAGCGTTAATATAAAAATAGCTAACTACGCTAATAAGAAGCGTTATATAAGGATTTTAATATTACGTTGAGCGTTAGTTAATATACTATAGTAGAGGCTATCTTGATTTAGTAGGATAAGTAAGATATTTACATGAATATAGATCTATCGCCTAGGTATCATAAGAAGACAAAGAAGCGTAATAACAGAAAACCGCTATTATATCTAATAAATAAGGCTGAAAAGGATAGTCTACTGTCGTGCTGATGTTCTTTTTCTTGAAAAGCCTCTTTTTTTAACTAGAAAATTGTAGGGAAGATAGTCACTCAGTCAATGGAGCTTATTGACATGACATAGAAAAGAGCTTGAATAATCAATATTAAAAAACCGATGCGATATCAAGTCCAAACATATGATGTTCAGTCAATTAAGGAACTAAATCGTATGTTGTACTTCATACAAAATTGATTCTCCCGGTGAGCCCCGAGGGAGACCGATGTCATGATCGACACCTAATATTCCAGGCAACATATTGGTGTGCCCCTCCATTTACACCAATTTACTTCCCGGTCAAGTCTTCTTCCTCTTCCATAGCTATTAACACCTCTCAAACTTCTTCTTTCTCTCTTCAATCTTCATATAATCTTTCAACATGCCTCGCCAATTCTTCGTCGGTGGTAACTTCAAGATGTATGTTATTCGAGCTTCGCTACCCCGCGATCTCAAGCCCCTCAGTCCTTTTACCTATTCCTACTCGTTCCATGAAAGACCGTGCAATTGACCCTATAAAGGAACGGTGTTGCTCAGAGCATCACCGACATCGTGAAGAACCTCAACACCTCCAAGCTCGATGACAGCACCGAGGTCGTCATCTCCCCCCCCGCCATCTACCTCGCTCTGACCCGCGAGCTCGCCGACCCCAAGATCGGTGTTGCTGCCCAGAATGTCTACGACAAGCCCAACGGTGCTTTCACCGGCGAGATTAGCGTTGAGCAGCTCCGCGATACCAAGATTAACTGGGCTGTCATCGGCCACAGCGAGCGCCGAGTGATCCTGAAGGAGACTGATGAGGTATGCATACCCGCAGTTCCCCCGAACCCCCAACCATCCGCAAACACTACACCCAAATGAAGCATAAACTAACCACCGTTCCATAGTTCATTGCCCGCAAGACCAAGGCCGCCATTGAGGGTGGTGTTTCTGTCATCTTCTGCATCGGAGAGACTCTTGAGGTACGTCATTAGTACCCAGTTTTTCCATTTTCGTCCCGATAGTGGGTCGTCGGGTCAAGACCGGCTATATGTTTTCTGAATGCATCCCGCTCACACCCGATTTCTTATGCAGGAGCGTGAGGCCGACAAGACCATCGAGGTCGTCACCCGCCAGCTCAACGCTGCCGCCAAGGAGCTGAGCGCAGAGCAGTGGGAGAAGGTCGTCATTGCCTACGAGCCCGTCTGGTATGAACTTACCCCATAGCTTCTATATCAACATGTCCCTAGACATATCTGACATCGATTTATAGGGCCATCGGCACCGGAAAGGTCGCCTCCACTGAGCAGGCTCAGGATGTCCACGCCGCTATCCGCAAGTGGCTCGGCGAGTCCATCTCCGCCGAGGCTCAGGAGAACGTTCGCATCATCTACGGTGGCTCCGTCAGCGAGAAGAACTGCCGTGAGCTCGCTACTCAGCCCGATGTTGACGGTTTCTTGGTTGGCGGTGCCAGCTTGAAGCCTGCCTGTAAGTTCTTAGCACATGCCCATCTACTGAACCTATTCTCGAAATTGGTACTAACCAACATCTGCAGTCGTCGACATCATCAACGCCCGCATCTAAGGGGTTTCCGAAAGAAACTAATACCCCCATAGTGCCCCAATCATCAGAGTAAATAGCTCTGTGATGTAGGTGTCAGATAGAAGACAAAAGCTTGGAATGTCAAGTATATGATCATGAATCTATGTACAATTCTGAAGTATATTTCGATAACACATAATCGTTGCTACCCCCGCGGAGCAGTCATTTCCCTGGCCAACCAGACCGTCCAATGATATACGCCTAGATAATACATGTAGCTTTAAATAGCACGCAACCTATGAAGAGTACAGCACCGAGACCCCAACCCCACGCCAATACGACATCCCAGGACTCCCACCTCCACTCTGGGCCGAGCCGCTGCCCGAAGCCGAAGAAACAGAAGGCGACAATGAGAACGAACCCGGACCCAGCCCGACACCCGCGCTCACCAAAAGCTCCTTAACCCGACCTTCCCATAGAAGCCGCACATTCCAAGACTGATCAATGCGCAGCTTGATGACAGAGTCACTCGTCTCAGCCTCGTTATGAGCACTGGAGCCCACGGGGCCCTCGGGACGAGCCGGGTCCTCTAGGAGCGGGGAAGCCGGCGATCCAGGCAGGGAAACGCCGAAGTCATGCATGCGCATTTTGCGACGAGCCCATTCTAGATCATCGTCACTGGAGGAGCTGGATTTCTTGGTTTGACGCCACAACTCGCAGCCAGCGACCATTTCGCTTTCCCAGCTGTAGACGTTAAATCCGAAGCGAGAGCTGAAGGCGAGGTTAGGCGAGGCGCGGAGAGAGTAAGTTGTAGATAAAGAGCCCACAATCGGGGCCAATGTTAGTGTCAAAGTGTAGGGGAATGTTGAGATGGGTGTTCGGGTGTTGGAAGGTGATGATGATTGCTGGATCTCTGTGGCTGCGGGTAATGTGGTGAATCGCAGACCGGTTGACATGCCGATCAGGGATGAGATTGGGGAATAGTATGCCTCTGCGCCTGCGGAAAGGAGTGACAATGGCGGCGGGACATCACGAGTGTATCGAGGATCTGGGCCGAAGTTCCAAAGTCCGCGCCAACCGAACAGAGCGTTGTCTGTGCTGAAGAGGTACTCGTTGCTGTACTTGCCCGTGTCGTGGGATAGCTGTGTGAGAATTGAGGCCTGTGGCGCGGATTTGGATTGCGGCGGTCCTTGAGTTGAGCAGACTGCTAGTGATAGTTGCATATTGGTAGAGATTCTGCGTAGAAAGAGCGCATATAGAGTGGAAGGAGGTGGAAGATGGAGAGACGCATGGAGCAGAGTAGCTTTTCGCTTTGCTTCATTTCCTCTGATATTTTCTCCATCTTTAGGATTTGGTGGTTCTGAACGACTTGCTTCTTTGAGCCCGGGAATGCTCACGCCGTCTAATAGCGAATCCCATCCCCACGTCTGGATCGGGGCCGCGGGGGCCTGCACTTGGCGGTATCCCGGGCATATCTTTCGAAGCGGGATTGACGCACTTCTACTTGGTAGGTTGTTGAATGGAACAGTACTAAATAGGTAGGATACAGATCCATCGAGCAACCCAACGGTGCCGAGTGTGTAACTGGTCGCAAAATGGGGAGTGGAAAGTGATGAAAGGTGAACACGCAATCGTTCGGGGGTCGAGAAATCCAGTATCGCTGCACCAAATACGTTAGACCAGCAATTTCCATATCCCATAGAGAGACTTTCGGCAATAAATCAATTACGTACATTGAGCGGTGGTGTTGAGTGACGAGTACGAGTTGTCGCGATTCCAGTGGGTCGCCTCGGCGAAGGATAGCTGGATGTAGTCCATAAAGTCCAGCATTGTCCGGACTCTACCCCTGCAGGCAACAATATGTAGCACCTGTAATATCAAAGAAAGAACACTTGAAGCAAGCGCAATTGAAGTGAACTGACCCTGAGAGATTACAGCTGATTGCCCCATTCAGGTTAGCGTTGGATAAGCCCGGCGGTAGGTTAATCCGGTTATCAGCGAAGAAAAAATGTCTGTGGGGGAAACATCTAACCTTCTGTCCGAATTCATTGAACCACCAATTCTAAAATCATAATTCAATATGCCTCGTTCAAAGCGTGCGCGCGTCGTCCACGAGTCTAAGACTGCCAAGAAAGATCACAAGGAGCAGACCCGCCGGCTCTTCGCCAACATCCGAGAATGTATCGAGGAATATGATCACCTTTTTG